CCGTACTGGCGATGCTATTACACAAACACCGACGCCGTCATTTACGTTGTGGACAGTTGCGACCAGGACCGCATGGGCATCTCCCGCAAGGAGCTGGTGTCAATGCTCGAGGTGGGCGTTGGCGCCTTGACCTCACCCCCCTTTTCCAGCTTACTCGTGGTCATTGATGTCCTGTTGCTCAATTCACGCTCGGCCCCTCGCTCCCGTATTCTTGTCTAGGAGGAGGAGCTGAAGAAGGCAGTGCTACTAGTCATGGCCAATAAACAGGACATGCCGAATGCCCTGTCCCCCTCCAAGGTCAGCGAGGCCCTTGGCTTGAGTGCCCTCAAGACACGTACCTGGAGCATTTTCAAAACCTCTGCCAAAACGGGCGAAGGTCTTGACGACGCCATGGAATGGTACGCTACGCATCGTGTTGAAGCCCACTTTGAAGAGACGTTCCCCTTGCCACCCCCTTTTAAACCCATTCCGGCTCATGCTTGGCATTCCCTGCTTGCGCTTATTTTTGTTTCTAGGCTGGTCAATGCCCTCCAGGGCAAGCACTGAGTGCCAACCCCATTGTTTGGTGGCCTGCTGCCATGTTTAGATCCCACTCATTTTTGTCCAGCTTAGCGTGCCATGAGAGGCCTGCACAGGGGTCGCAAAGCAAGCCAACCCCTGTTCGCCAACTAGTCGTCCAGAAAGTGCTGACGAGTTGCTGTCTGTTCTGCATCACTTTCCGGTGACACCATCATACCAAACTGCATCTCTCCATCGAGATGTGATGCTCTTAAAAAGCATGTTGTGCGAATGGGTGCTGTTTTCCCAACTCAAACGTTTGTGTCATCTTACATGACAATGAGGTCGGTTTGTCGTGGCCCATTTTTTTTTCTCACCCATTCCCTTCAGCGCGGCCGTGTCTTGGTAATCCTCCTCCAGTGTATAGTCTTTTAAGCTTGTGCGTGGTGTGATATGTGCTTATCCATCCCACCTTGTGTCATGTTCTCGGTTCCGTGGGGATGGGTCGTCAAGCACACCAGAAGAATTGAATTTCAACACTAATTCCTGGTCCGCGCTTTGAGCAGGCAACAAGAAAAATGCAGGCTGTTGTTTTGGGAGGAAATGGTCTAATGCTGATAGCGAGCCAATAGCTCCTGAGCATACGCATAGCTAATGTGCCAAGCATCGCGACAGCTCGCTAGGATATCTGCCAACCAGGGCTGCATGGCCTCGGCAGCCATGCTCATCATGTCCAATGCCTGAGTGTAAGCAGCCCGCATGTGGGGGGCTGCTTGGGCCCAGAGCTCCTGAATCTTGGGAATGACACTGGCACGGACTTGCTGCAGATGCGGCAGTGCGGCGTGCCAGACCGAGAGCATACACTCCCAGGCCTTGGCCCATGCAGCGGTCAATTGAGGCTCAGCAGCCACCCAGACGGCTTGTAAGCGCGGGTACAATTCGTTGTTCACAACATCCAAACCCATCTGCCAATAGGGACTATTGTGGAATGGCAACACATGAGAGATTTGACCTTTCGAAATGAGCAACGCAAACCAATGGTGCGTGGGCCCACTTACACAACGTAGGGGGTGATTGGTTCAGCCATAGGTGCCGCAGCCTCGAGAAAGCGAGCCCAGCCTCGTTTGCCCCATTCCTCGGCCTGTGACGCATACGGCAACGCGGCGAGATATGCCTCATCAATCTTGCTGAGCACACCTTGCGCTTCAGCCTCAGAGCAAGCCGCGATAATAAAGTCGGGCTTGTTGGCCAGGCCGTGCTAGAACCACCCATACACCAGTGACCCACGGCACGAAGAACACAAGTCGGTAAGTCGCAGCCCCAAAGCCGTACTGACCCAAAGAAGCGGCTTCAAAGCGATACCCGCGTGCCATCGACCGCACAAACCTCTTGACCATAACGGCACATAAGATGGAGCGAAAGGAGGAAAAAGAGGGCCAAGGAGGCGACCAAAGCGAAGATCAGACTCCAAGTAATGGCATTGGAGGTCTTTCGTCGCTGCTGCTCACATAAAACAAGTGTCAATGACATGCACCAGAAGGTCCAGACAAACAGCCAGCAATCTCAAGCCAAATGCGCTTCAGGCGGAAGAAACGGAATCATACCTTTGCACTTTCAACGTTTGACTTTTCCGTCTGTGCCAAAGGCTCCAATCGTGTGGCAAGCGCCTACGTGCACAAACCATGATGAGCGGGTGCAAGCACGGTTTGTAGCTGGCATGACCATGCCTTCGTGGCGTCATTGCACAGTCCTCACCTCTGCCGCAGCTTGCACACGCTTATAGGCATCCCGCTGTGCGGGTTTTGAGACCTGTGCACGAGACAACCAATCCGACCCTTAGACAGACCATACAAAGCATGGAGACGGTACAGCAAAGGAGTGAGCAGGTTCCGAAAGACGATCGACAATAAACTTACGCCTTCGAGAACCTTCCCCGCCTGCGTTTGAAGGGTGCCCATGGCGTGCAGCCACAGCGACGGGGACCGCTTGCACGATAGAGACTTGGCACTCCACAACTTCGTGTTGAGCAATTCCACCAAGACTGCAACACCGAGTGGAAACTTGCGCATGGCCGAGATGATAGTACGCAGAGTTGCCACCGGATCGAGCGTAGCACAGTAGTTGATACTCATGCAGAGTTGCAAGCGAACATCTTGGTCGTTGGCACTTTCGCTCTCCAAGGTTTCCAGCAGCTCCAGCACGCACTTGGGCATTTGCTCACTGCGCCGAACCGCGAGCTCACTGCGCAAAATGATGGCCATTGCCCAAATGATGAGATGCCAAGTGCATCGAAACATTTGAAGCATGCATAAATGTGGTGATTGACAGCGCCGTCAAGCCCAGCATGCACGGCCATGACCGGCACGTACCGTAGGTATGGGTAGGCGTGTTGCAAGATTTTTGTTTGCCTGTAGATGCAAGCACCAGGAACGCATGAGAGACCCGTGAAAGATTTATGCTTTTCCCCTCGACACAGCTAGGATAAACCCGGGCCCTCAAGCGAGCTATCAACTGACTCTGGCGTGCGCTTGACAGCGGTGGAATAAGCGACCAGAATGACACGAATCAGTTGCTTTGGGGTCAGCTGGGCATTCTTGGCTTGCTTGACCACGTCCTACAAAAGTTGCAGGATCCAGAAGTCATGACTAGTCTTGTTATCGCCACGGTTTGCCGCGGAGTCTTAATCTCACAAACCTGGCAAAAAGCAATGTTGCGCTTGTGCTCTCCTTGAGGAAAGAGAAGATCTAAACCTTGACAAGCGGCCATCTTGACTTTCTCCGAGCAGTGGTCTGACAATAGCAACAAGTAAAATCGCACAAAGACTAGAGTCGACCAAGGCAAGGTGAACCATTGTGACGAATGAGAAAGTTGGACAAGAAGGGGGCTGCCAACTTGACAACCCCGACAAGAAGACGTGCCTGACTGCCACGGCTGCAAGAGTAGACCGATTAGGAGCGCACACTTACCCCGAAGAAAAGACATGCGCATGCCGCCCACAATGAATTGGTTCAAAGTCCAGAGCGTAGGAACTGCCACCTGCTCACCACAGGCGCTACAGGTCAAGAGACGGCGCTGGAAAAAGGCTGGCTGGTCTCAGGCAAATATAAGCAAAAGCCCGCGGTGACTCACGTAATCTTGAGGCATGGCGCCCTTGAAACTTTCAATCACGGCATTGAGCGCATCATCGGCCACGCTGTAGTGACTGCTCTTGTCGCGGGCCACGGCGCGAATGGCCAGTTGATGAAACAACTGGATGGGCAAGTTTGTAACGCCTGTTCCAAGAAAAAAAAAAAAAAAAAGATAGTCGCGTGATGAAGAAATGTTGCGTGGCGCCGTCGTTGGCCCGTGCCACCAAATAGGTGAGCTCGAGGCCTTTCGTCATAGGATCTGAGAAAGACAAAGCTCACCCTGTTGTTTGCGTTGGATGGCATCCACGAGGTACATGCGAAATACAGCGGCAATCTCTTTTTGATCCATGCCCTTCATCGCTTCCTCAAACAGAGCCGCTACATCGGGTGGGCACGCCGACAATGGCAGATCTACTCAGTGCATATGCCGGGGATGAGTCAAGGACCGGGGAGGACCAGGGTCATCAACGCGAGGTATTTCAACACACAACCCACCGGATACGGGGCTCTTGACAGATTTGACATCCTTAAGCTGGGCAACGAGGCTCTCCACCATTGCTTTCAGACGTTCCACTGCGCTATCGCGAATTCGCTCCTATGCAATGCGCGCACATCAGCAAGGTCTACAGCCCTCCAGCTCACGAGTTGAGATGAAGAATGCAAGGCAGCTTTCACCACTCACCGAAGCAACTTGTACAGCCAGTTCAATTTGAACGACATCAAGTTGACCCACGCTTTTGCGAACATTTTCCTCGGTGGCATCAGCGACGGAGCGGGATTGCTGGAAAATAAAAAAATTATAAAAGGATTTCAGTAGGGAAAAAACCAGAAAGCACAGCATACAGCAAGCTTCTCGTCTTCCACCCAGCTTTTTTTTTTCTATCCAAGAAAGAAGCCGTGCTTTACGAAGTGCGCACCTTCTTTGCGGGACGAGACTTCTTTTTCTTTGAGGTAGTGGCCTAGATGCAACCATCGATTTGGTGAGAAATGTTCTTGGCGGCCGAGCGCGAGCCGGAGACAAAGGGTCGGCTGCCCAAAGCGATGACTGAACATACAGCGTCGGGCTGAGCCGCGGGAGGCTCTGGCACAGCCGCAGCCGATTCTCCACCTTTGGCTCGGCGCTCACGCTTTTCCAAAATGTCCATAGCCTACGCCAACAATCCGTGTCAAAAGGGCGCTGATTTTGCTGGGCAAGCCTTGGTACCGAGGCATCAAGAGCCCACCTGCTGCAATTGCGTCGGCTTGACATCCAGTGGGGCCGAGGCCAAGCCGGCCTCACGCATCAGCTTGTCCTTTTCCTCCTGTGTCATGTCTGTACGGAGTGGACAGGAGAAGACCGGTGAAAGATGATTACACTGTTGCTCGAGCCGCGGTGATGCTGGCGGCCTTGAGAATGAAAGACCCCTTTGCCATTTCCTTCAAGAGCGGCTACCCATTTGCGCATGACTGACCTTCGGCCGCCTTTGCAGCCTTGGCCTGAGCCTTTCGACTCTTCTTGCCTTGGCCTTTGTCTAACGTGAGCACAGGTGGGTAAGGTTGGGTAAAATTGGCTGGTGATGCAGACCAGAATGCTTGTCCGTGCGTGCACATCAGGCCAGCATTAAACTGCGGGAGCTTCTCCGTCAGGATCAAGAACCAAGTTTGCCAAGGACGATCAAACATACTGGAGCTCGGAGCGGGCTGCCAGCCGCCATCATATTCGCTTGACTTCATTGCCCTGTAATTAAGGCGGATTGACACAAGCGGCGCAGAACATACATCAATGAAAGAACCAGATGGCATGCAAGAAATCATATGAGATGAGATTGCTGCCACGAATGAGTCGTGGCGATGCCGTTTCCGTGCGGTCCAGTGTCTCCATGCTGCTCCGAGTCTGTTGCATAACAGGCCCCGCCAGTGACTCGAGCATACCTCCCCTCCCGCTCCTTGGAAAGCACATGGAGGAGGTCTTGAAGAAATGGCCTTGAGACCACGACTGTGTTATCCCCCTTGCCTCACCCGACTTTGTACCCTCCCGAGCAGGGCCAAGCACACCAATCCCTCGGCACCATCAAAGCCGAAGCGAGCGCGCACGCGTACCCAGTGTTGGTCGTCGTCGTCGTCACACAAAAAAAAGAGACAGAGAGAGAGAAAAAAATTCAATTTCTGCTCCTGATCGATGTGTTGAAAACAGGAGTTGTCAACCCATTGTCAGCCCTCTCCATCATCATAATTAGATGTCAGATCAAACTGTCAGCCCTTTTTCCCGGTTTGACGTGAACATCATGGCAACAACTGTGACCGTCGTGGCAGCAGGCGGGACGGGGGCTGGCGCGTTGGCAACCGCTGAGATGGGGTCGAGTGGGCCGTCGAATGAGGCGGGTTCGGCGCATAGCTCGGCCCGGAATTCGGCTGGTACCACGGGGAGTGGGGGTGCCGGCTTGATTCGTGGAGAATTGCTCCCGGAGACCGATGTGAGCCGAAGTGAAACAGACAATGATGATGATGACGATGATAGCGAGTGCAGCCGTCCCGCTGAGCTCGGTCCAGCGCCAGACAAGCAGGTGGTGCCCACTCCCAATAATACGGGCTGTGTCGAAGGGGCCATGTTTCGAGGCGACCCCAGTCATCTAGTCTTTGATGCCATCTTTGAATCAGGTAGGTAGACAAGCGCACTGCAAGTTTTCGCTTGTTTTGCGCGGACCCACGCGTGTCGCGTCAGGCCATGCTTGAGGCGCAAGACGCCACTTCTGCCAACCCATGCTGTCAAGAAACTTTCAAGACGTTCTTGCCTCGAATTGATAGGCAACTTGGGAAGTGTTGAGCAACTGAATGAGGATGAATATGACCTTTTTATTCGAGAAGATTTCGGATCACCCCGTCACAGCCTCTGGTGCGTGACACGAGCTGCCCAGATTCGCCCGAACGCAAAGTCCATGCCTACTAGCCTTATCTCAGTGCCCATGAACCATCTGCTGTTAGGTTCTATTTTACCGTGACTCGAGCCCGTGCTGGACAGGTCGTGCTGTTTAATGTTCACAATCTCTGCAAAACCCGCAGTCTCATCCGCGACGGAATGGCGCCCGTCGTTCGCAGCAGCAGCAGTGTGTAGTATTGTTGATTTCCCCTTGATTCTTGGGCAACCCCCGCCCTTCAGTCGACGATAAAGAAAAGACTGCCCGTCCTCATATTGCACCGTGATGAACCTCCCACTGTAGGTGGACAATGGCAACGCCTGCCATCCAGCGACTGCTTCTATCACTCCGACTGCGAGGAGCGAAAACACTACGTCTGCAGTTTTCTTTTGGCCTTTGAGGGTCCAGAGGTACAAACGTGCACCTCTCTTTGGTGATCTTCTCTGCTTTGACTGGCGGGTTAAAACCTTTTCCTCTGACTGGGTGGCATTCTGGCACATCTGTAGGTCATCTATGAGATCGCTTACTGCTATCCGTATTCACTCACGGATCTTAAGCTCTTTCTCAGCACCTTGCCTCAAAGCCGTGTGCAACAGGATACTCTCTGTAAAACGACACAGGTTGAAATCTCGTCGCAAGTGTTTTGCTCACTATCTTCTTTTCTTTTTTTTCTTTTTTTTTCTTGCTCCTTTGGCTCCTGGTGACGCCTCGGGTCACCTTCACTTTCCTTGGTGCACCATCTTAGGGACGCGACGTGCCCCTTCTCACCATATCCCAACCGCATAACCTCAAAAGGTCAGCCTTAGAGTTTGATTCTATCCTTTGTGGTGCTTTGCTGGTGACAGGCATAGCTCCTTGTTGACCACACCGATGTGGCCAACGCTCGCTCTGCTGCAAGTCAGATATCGAGCCGGCGAGCAGATGCCTGGCTTGATCATCTCGGCCCGTGTCCACCCTGGAGAAACGCCATCATCCTACCTCTGTGAAGGTGAGATGGCTTCTCGGGGCTTCTATCTCTATCCCATTGGTTGTCGCGCCATAGAAAGGTGCCCATTTCTATTTCCCGCGCGCTGGATAGGATTGCTTCGCTTCCTAGTGTCCTCAGACCCACATGCCGAAGAACTACTCGAAAAGTTTGTCATCCAGGTCATACCTATGCTCAATCCAGACGGTGGGTGGGTGTCTGTCTCAACAAGCAAGCCATTGGCATGATATCCCCCACTTGGCTACCAGCTAATGAGTTGAACTTCTGCTTCTTGCCAGGCGTGGTCATGGGGCAATATCGCTGCAATGCAAAGGGCTTCGACTTGAACCGTTGCTGGCGAATGCCCACTGTCTCAGCTCAGCCAATTGTTCACGCTGTCAAGCGCCTGCTCTTCACGGTATCTGCATCTATGTTGCGATGTACTCGAGCTTTCAATGTTTGACTTGATCAATCACCCTTTCATGAGCGCTTGCCCACCCATCTTAGGCCCGATTGAAGGTTGCCGCGTACGTGGACTTGCACGCCCACAGCACCAACGCGTCGGGATTCATGTATGGCAACGCCGTTTCGGATGAGCTGAAGGCAGAGCAGCAATGGAGACTGCCGCGTGAGCTTGCTCGACTGAACAGTGGCTTCTCCCTGGAACGCACGCGATTCTACAACGATGTGGATAAGACGGGCACGAGTCGACGTGCCATTGGAATGTAAGTCACGGCGCACCCAAGCATCTCCTTCCAATGAGGCATGTCCTTCACTATCGCTCACGCGTCTTTTCTTTTCTTTTTTTCTTTTTCTTTTTTCTTTGAAGGATGATACCCAGCGGGGATGCTTTCACGTTTGAGGTATCATTCTTCGGGCAGACCATGCCCGAGATGACTGAGCTAGTTCCATTCTCACAGCGAGACTACATCATGCTGGGTCAGTCAAATACCTTGTTTGCTTCTCTTGATGTGTTGTAGTATGAGTAAGAACACTCACCCTCCCCTTATGTTGTGGTCCAGGTGTTGATTTAGGACGGGCACTCTATTTTACCTATGCGGCCGAACAATAGCGCTGCACATTTTGAAAATCGAAAACAAAGTAGGGGAAGTCAGGTATGATAAGGAAAATGATAATCAGCATAATGAAATTGAGTGAAATGAATTAGTACATGAACAGGGCACGTGGCAAGTGACGAGTCTAGGTATGACTTGGAACGACCTAGATTTGCATTTGAATGACGGTTCAAATGAAGGACACGCGGCGATTTGGGCTTTTACGGTCACTCATGGGAATGACATGCATTGTAGAGTCTAAGCGTGTAGTTGCACCAAAGTCGATGGGCTCCATGGGAACAAGGAAGGCATCGACAGAGGACGAGGGATGCACTGGAGGAGAAGGTGGAGGAGTCCTGTAAGGCGTGATTGTTGGAGATTGAGGCGAGTGGGTCGAAAATGACTTGGAAGGAGACACATCAAAAGTAGCCGAAAGGTCAACAGGAGGAGTGATGTACAAGTCGTTGAGGAAAGCACCTTGAAACTGGCCACAATGAGAAATGGGACGACATAGAGATTGACGATGCAAGGGCAATTCAACAAACGTAGACAAGGTCGTCGTGTCACCGGACATCGGGCCCTCGTTGGCCGCTAGATTATCCGCGGGTCGTGCAGAGGGCGTGCGAGGTGCACTGTGCGCCGGGTGCGCCGATCGCGTCGTCGTGTCACCGGACATCGGGCCCTCGTTGGCCGCTAGATTATCCGCGGGTCGTGCCGAGGGCGTGCGAGGTGCACTGTGCGCCGGGTGCGCCGATCGCGTCGTCGTGTCACCGGACATCGGGCCCTCGTTGGCCGCTAGATTATCCGCGGGTCGTGCCGAGGGCGTGCGAGGTGCACTGTGCGCCGGGTGCGCCGATCGCGTCGTCGTGTCACCGGACATCGGGCCCTCGGTGGCCGCTAGATTATCCGCGGGTCGTGCCGAGGGCGTGCGAGGTGCACTGTGCGCCGGGTGCGCCGATCGCGTCGTCGTGTCACCGGACATCGGGCCCTCGTTGGCCGCTAGATTATCCGCGGGTCGTGCCGAGGGCGTGCGAGGTGCACTGTGCGCCGGGTGCGCCGATCGCGTCGTCGTGTCACCGGACATCGGGCCCTCGTTGGCCGCTAGATTATCCGCGGGTCGTGCCGAGGGCGTGCGAG